CAGTATGGATGAGTACTATTTTACTTCTATCTGTTGCATCTATAAGGAGATAATGGTAAAAAATTACTCATAACGAAGAGTGGAGGACCCATACAAATCAACAGTCATGTTGATTGCATTATTTCACCCAAACCGTAGATAATTCAATTAAATTTAAAACTAATCATTCAGATATTACAAGCTATAAATGTCAAATTCAATTCGATGCACCCTTATGTAGATTAATTTTCCTGATCTTTTTAAAAAAAAATAATATACGATTCACATACTACGTCGCTGTGCTGTTTATATAAGATAAAGCATTACATATTAACATATGTATCACATATTGAAGATATCCATACCTGAAGTTGTTGAAGTGTGTTGATTGTGTTTTTATCTTGATTTTCTAGTTCCTGCATAGGGCGTGTTCCTACTTTTTTTAAATCATTCATTCTCTTCCGAATTCTGTTCCGTTCGTTCTTGTGAAAGAACGATCATTCCGAAGGAACAACGCCCAGTTTTATAGCTGGGCGTGTTTCTACTTTTTTCAAAATATTTTTTTCTGTTTGGTCTCGTTCGTACATGTGGAATAACAATCGTTCCAGAGGAACAACGCCCAGTCCTTGAGCTGGGCGTGTTTCTACCTTTTTAAAATCGTTCGTTCTGTTCCATTCAGTTAGTTCCCGTGAAAGAACAATTATCCTGAGGAACACGCCCATTACTTGAGCTGTGATTGTTCCGACTTTTTTAAAACGTTCGTTCGGTTGCATTACGTTCGTTCGGTTCCATTACGCTCGTTCCGTTCCATTCCGTTCGTTCCCCTGAAAAACAATCGTTTCCAAAGAACGACGCCCAGTCCTATTCCTGCAGAGACTGTTCATGCTTTAGTTTTTCTCCAGCTAGATCCTCCTGAATAAAATTTATTTTAAATTTTACTCTAAACAGGTTTTAAATTGTAAACACTTATATGTTTTGTATCAATAAAGAAACATCCATGGTTATGCGAAAAAATTTGTTTACAGTGGTCAGCGATTTTTTCAATACAATGAAAACTATATTGTGTTTAATTTTTGATTATTAACTAGCTTCTTTTTAAAATTTTAAGTTTAAAAGTAATTGAAAAGAAGCTTTTTTGTTTCCGTCCTTATGTGTATCAATGCTGTTTAAAATCTTGATAAAAATAAAAATTTAATTTAAAAGTTGTATTCATTGTATTGATATATGTGACGAAAACTGTAGCTTGAACATTAAATTTCAAATTTGAGCGAAACTTCGGGAAAAATTTACCTAGTTGTAAAGGCAATGTTTATGGGTTGTCAGAAAAAATAAAATATAAAAAAATACTTCCTTCAATTTTGTTCTTTCACATTTTTCTGTTTTTAGAGCTGCTTCTTGGTTGGTTGTCATCTAGTTTCAGTTTTATGATTTCTGCTTTTCAAATAATTTGAAAACAAAACTATTGGAAATGAGTTTTCAAAAGATACAAACTTTAAGACATTAATTAAACTTTTCATGATTATGATTTTCTGATGAATGATTAACTGGGGATAAATAAATTGGATGTATAAAGACCAGATCTGAAAACTTTAGATTTCCGGATATCGAGATCAATGCTTGATCTCCTCTTTATATTACTGAGAAGACTAACTTTATCTTACGTTAATTTCCGGGAAATTGTTTAAACCGGAAACGATCAGGTGCCGATTGTAAAAACCGAACAGCCAATCAGAAGCGAGAGAAACCTTGAAATTTTGCGCGTTCAATTAATGTGAGAATTCTTATTGGTATCGTAGACAATGTCTACAATGCACTAATAAACAGTAGACACGTCTACAGTGGGGAGATCCAGAAGAGAGGATTAAACAGAAAACCAGAAGTGCCAATACTGGATACAGATAGCAATCAGGATTACTTGTATCCAATACTGGATACAGATAGCAATCAGGATTACTTGTATCCAATACAAGAATTTTCAGCTTACATCAGTTTAAAGTTAAAAAAGAAAATTATTTTCAAATAATCTTCGCACCTCAACCTCGCACCAATTTTTTTTTTCTATTTAAGTTTCTTTATCTATTTCAAGTCATGTTTTTAGACGTAGAATTGATTAAAGCTTATGAAGCTTATAAAGCTTTTATCAACTCTACGTCTAATAAAGTTGTCTTTCTTTCTTGAGCGGTTTCTCTGATGTTGATTTAATTAACTCACAGTCAGTTGAAATCAAACGTGTTTTGGTCTATAATTCAACACTCTTTAAACTTACAGATTTTTATATTTTATGCTTTTTTATTCAAAATGCATATGCCAATAAAAAATTATTTCAGAAAAAAAGGCTATCAAATTATGTATAAGGGGTCAAATTCTGATCAAAAGTCACAGCTTTCTGAAATATTGACAGAACCGTTTAATCCGCGTGACTCCGGCCATGGAAACAATTTCTCTGTGCTATAGGAGTTCAAAAGTTCTAATCATGTAAATTCCTGACTCATCTCATCTGTAAAGTGTTCATATATTATTGCAATATTTTATACAGTAATAAACTAACTAGTAAAGCTGTTAGCTTTGTAATAACGTCAAATGGACCAAATATTGCTCTAATGTCGACTTCTTATTTCACAACTTTATGGTTATCTCTGTAGTAAAAGTATTGATAAAAATTTTAATGAAAAATTATAAATTGCAAAAAATTATTTTAAAAATAGTTTGCAATCCTAGTTTAGCTTGAAGGTCCTCTAAAAAATTATTCTAAAAATAGTATGCAATCCTAGTTTAGCTTGAAGGTCCTCTAAGTCAGTCTTCTGAGCCTCAATACTATCCTTCAAATCACTGAAACAAACATTATTTCAGTATGAATTAATTTCACCAATCTTTTGCAACCTAACAATGTATATATATAGATTTAGCAGAATTCATAGTTTGAAATATATTTAAGGTCTCCAACATTTGGTTGCGAGATATAGATATTAGAAAGTCCGATTTTGTGGCAAAGACTCAATTTCTTTGTCAAATTATTAATTATTATTTATTGAACTCCTTCATCTATCCTGTTCATCATAGGTGTGTGTGGGGTGGGGAGGTTCTGTAGGATCCCTCTTGTCAATCATACAAAAAAAACTTACTTGATTGTGTCTTCTTGGTCTTCAAATCGATTTCGGACTTCATCAAATTCTTCTTTTTTATCCCAAAATGGCATTTTTTTTAACTACCTAGAGAAATGTTTTTTAAAAAAAAGGTTTGAAGAAAATTAAACGTTGATTGATAATTCTGATAAAATAGAGATTTACAATTATTATTATTATTATTATTATGCTTTTCTGCAACACAATTAACCACTAAAAAAAAGCGGAAAGTTATTCGGAAAATTTTGAAAATTTTTTTTTTTGCGAATTTTAAACATTTATGTGTTTTTACCACATACTCGAATTTTCAAATCTCGAAATCTTTGTTACAACTGATGGTGTAAATTTTTTATATTTCAAACAAACTATTTGATCTAGCAGAATTCATAGTTTAAAATATCAAAGATCTACGATATTACGTTGCAAAGATGAGAAAAACAAAGTTTGTAGCATAAGATCAGTTCCTTTATAAAATTAAGAGAATAAAGGCTAAAGAGAACATATTGTTTTATATAAATATTTGCATGTTAATGGAACCCTCTGTATTCAGAACTTATTGTATTTAATGTATATTGGTTTTTTTATAAATATTTGCATGTTAATGGAACCTTCTGTATTAAGAACTTATTGTATTTAATGTATATTGTTTTTTTTATAAATATTTGCATGTTAATGGAACCTTCTGTATTAAGAACTTATTGTATTTAATGTATATTGTTTGTTTTTTATAAATATTTGCATGTTAATGGAACCCTCTGTATTAAGAACTTATTGTATTTAATGTATATTGTATTTAATGTATATTGTATTTAATGTATATTGTATNCCAGGAGCCGAACGTTAAATGCAGTCTCTAGTCTCTAGTCTCCAGTCTCTAGTCTCTAGTCTCTAGTCTCTAGTCCCAAGTCTCCTGTCTCCAGTATCCAGTCTCTAGTCTCAAGTCTGAAGTCTCAAGTGTCCAGTTTCTATTCTCAAGTATCAAGTATCCAGTTTCTGGTCTCTAGTCTCTAGTCTCTAGTCTCAATTGACGAGTCTCCAGTTTTTAGTCAGTGATAATCAGAAAACTGTAGAATAGGAAGACGACAATTAAGAAATACTGAAGTGTATAGGATGTTGTTACAAAGCAAATAGCTTTATAAGTAAGTTATTAAGTGAAATTGATCTGTTTACACTGCACCATTGCTGTGCCTCATGTTCATTGGAATATTTAAAGTCATAACTTAAGTCTAAAAGTCGACTTCCTATTCCAGAGTTTTCTGGTTATCACTGTATTCTCTAGTCTCTAATTCACATAAAATCGTGACTTGTATAATTTGTTTCATATTATTTTTCTTCACAAAGAGCAGGAAACGGGATTAAAAAGTAAATTCAATAGAAAAGTTAAAATTATTATTTTCAATCAAAATAAAATACACTTGTTTCTGCTGACCTGAGGTTGGAACAATTCATCAGTTATTAAAAGTTTTTGCTTAAATAGCGAACAGTTTTTTCTCTCCATATTTTGAAATATCAACACTGACTAAAAAAAGAATAAAAATAAACCTAACCATGTAATAATGTTAGTAAATTTAAATATATATACTTAAATACTATTTTTACTTTTATACCTTTACTGTCCGTAAATGTAATTTCTTATTATTCCATGTCAGATTCAAAAGAGGAACCGTAAAAAAGTGTGTAAAATCAATTATGAATGAGATATCCATAATTTTGTTTTTGGAAACTGTTATTTTTTCAATTTTGGTTTCTCTGCGAAAGAGGCTTGCGCATTTCTTGCGTTTAAATCAATGGAGAAAATTTTAAAATAAAACAATTTTCAAGCAAGAAAAACGACGTTGTCTTCCAAATTATTGATCAGATTAAGGTATCAAGGGTACCGTTGTGAATCAGGTATGCCAGTCTATAAATTGAGGGTTGCTGTTTGAATTTTTATGAGTCAAACAAAAAATAAGTTTTATTTCAGATTTTAATCAGTAAGATGATTAAACTTCCATTGATATTCACAGTAATAATTACACTGAAAAGTTTTACTTTGGGTTCAGTCCAGAAAGGTACAGACGGATATAAAGTTACTATATCAAGTGACACCCATAAATCTCGAGAACAGGAAAAGAACTTTTGGACTCAATTCATGATATCTAAAAGTACAATGAACTAGGAACACAGACATGGTGTAGTGTAGTCAGATAAATTTCGCTAAATAATTAATTTTTTTAGCTACGGGTAAAAATTTGTGCTTCATAACATCAATCATATACAACTCTAAAATAAAAAGACGACATTAAATTAAAAATTAAGCAAATAGTTTTACAAGTAACTTATTAAATCACTTGTATATGAAATGGTCTCTGTTTGCACTGTACAACTGATGTGTCTCATGTTTATTTTTACTTTTAAAATTTTACTTTTCTAGGCAAGGCTTAAATATATTTGAGAAGAAAAAAACTTTCTCTTAAATTGAGATTGATTGAATTTATTAAACATAAAGATATATAGCACATGTGGATCAAAGCTTTATCTTGTTTTGCTACTTATTTGGTTCCTAAAAAACTTTTAAATCCAAAAATTAAAGTTTTTGACGCTTTTTATATATTTATATATTTTTATATATAGGCTCATTTCATGTGGGACGGATCAGAGAAGGGCAAATGGAATACGACAAGTAACTGGAATTTTTTGTTTACATTTTTGCTTTACAGATAATAATTTGACCTTTTATATCTAATAACATATCCGATTCCCCAAGGTTATTATTGGAGCAATGTAGTACATTCTGCCATTATTCTTTCACACCCAAATTCCATTCTGAATTATTAACTTTTAGCGAAGAAAAGATTGTTTCATGAATAGCAGATTAAAACTTTAGATTTATCTAATTTTCTGTCTTGGACTTACACCTCAGAAACAGAAACAAGCAAAAAAGTGGCCGAAATTAATCGTTTTTTATATTCAGATTGAATGGAAGATTTTCCATTGAGCAGGCGCAGTCTATATGTGATAAAGATCCTACATGTGGAGGATTCACGTTTAAGGTTATATTTTTAATCTTTAATCAGGAGTAGTGTATATTATAGACCCGCACGAGAGCACAATGGGTGGGGTCTGAGCCGCCCCCCCCCCCTTCTTTTCTAAGTGAAAACTATAGTTTCCCAGGGGTTATGTAGACCCCAAAGGACGGGGAAGGTGAAATGGTTAATCCTCCCTGGAAACTTTCTTTTTACGCCCCTTGGTTCAATACAATTGATTAAACTAATATACAGATATACTTATTCTGTATTAATTTCAATTTCAATGTATTTTCAGGGACCTAAAGACTCGCAGGTAAATTTTCCTTTTAATTTTCCTTCTTGTAACGAAGATGAAAGATAACAAGAAGTATTTTCATGATTCTGAAATCTAAGACTATTCAGGGTGTCCCAATAAACATGGGAATTCAGTGACGAATTGAATATCGTCTTTAATATGAATTAGCATTGTTAATACCTAATTTCAAAAGCCAAAAAATTATTATGTCTGCTAGAGTTTACTTTATGAAAACGGTAAATGACTGTAAAGATGTGATTTTAATGCTCCGCANAATAGATAAGTGAAATATATTGAACCTTAGTTTTTTAGCTGGGGTAAGCTGAACATGGTTGGAAGAAAAAAAGTCTAATATTGACTTTTGAGACTGTGTGGACGTGGTGTTACTACTACTAGGGTTGTTTCGTTTCATGTTATCTGAAAATGCAAAGATAAAAATTTTGTCTCAGTTCATGGTCATGATGTCAGTAAATTAAAAGTAAAACATATAAATTTTGATTTTCCATATAGTGTTGACGTTCATATAAAAAAAATATCAAAGATATTTCACATTATAAACTGCCAAACTGGTGACTAGTGAGAGCACTGCATTGAGCGAGCAGTATTTGAATCACAAAGTTTTGGTTTTAATTGCGCATAATTCTGAGTTATGCCGCGTACTCGGAAAAGTACGGATGTATTTAATGGAGGAGGCTGGATAGATATAATATGTAGGAACATGATAATTGATATCATTTCATAAAGTTTATTTTCATTGTCACTTTCAAGTAAACTTTATTATTTATACAGAATAAATAAAAACTATACTTTAAATGAGAAATGATTTGTAAAAATCCAGGGGGGGGTACACCCCCCCCTAATTTCACTCAGGGGGGGGTAATGGACTGCCACCCCCCCCTTGAAACCGCCTATGATTGAGCATCTGCTCTTTGTACAATGAATACCAAATATAAGATTAAATTATATGACAATAATGTCGTATTCTCAACATAAGATCAAATGCCGAGGAAAAACGAGTTTTATACCATGGATATCAATTGCTGTCCTTTCTATTTCAGGGCTATTAGTTTACCTTGAATTAAAAATAAAAAGCAGTTTCTTAAGAATTATCAAAAAAACGTATGACTCTACAATGAAATTTGGATATATTTTCATAAATCGTATTCAACCTTTTAAAACTGCGAACATCTCAACATCTTTCTTTTTGTGCAAACGAATGATGAAGCATTACAACTGTCTTAAATTTTTCAATAAATTTTAAGACACCATTTAATGCGCTCTTGCTATGTATTCTCCAATGTGAGATTGGTTGCACATTTAAAACAATAACAAAAAAGTTTGCGGATATAGTAATTTTTTTCTCAAGAATTTTCAAAATTTTACAAAAATCGAAATATTTTTGAGACCATTTTTGAGCATCCATAAACATTCCCTGGAGTCATTGGGCCCGATCGGTTCGGCTGTTTTGACGTGACGTTTATTGGATACAAACGGACAGACAAACACAAGGACAAGAAATTAGTGTATTTATAGATAAAGATTATCATTATACGTACTTTCAAGTTTATTTATAATCATGAAAACAGTGAATAAAAAGTCTTTAACTCATCTTGAATTTAGAGACGCGCTTGATATTTTTAAAAATCTGGAGGGAAAATCTAAAAAAATACCTCAGGTAAAATGTTAATTTTTTGAATATTTAAAACGTAAAATATTTATATTCATTCCGATGAAGCAAAATATGGTACGGTGGTAGGCGATTATAGCAAAACAATGAAGACGACTTTTGGTTTCAATTTTTATTTATATCATGATTTTAAACTGCATGGATACACAATTAAATGATAACAAAGAGAAGCTGTTATTTGAAAAAGCTTCTCTTCGATAACTTGTAAACTTGTAAATCGAAAAAAACTTGTTAACACTAAAAAATTAAATAAAAAAGTCGTCTTCATTATATTAATATTATTGCCTACCACGTATAAGAGTAAATGTTATCGCTTTGCATAATTACTTGGATTTTGGAAGTTTTTTTACTGCAAAAATGTTCGACTAAAAGTATAATCATCATAAGTCATCGAAAAAAAATATTGTAAATCATTATTTTCTTTTATTTTTTATCATGGAGATTTTCGATGATATCGAGATTACAAGGAGGAAATGCATCAATTTGAGAAAGAAATGCGCAGGAATTGGCAGTTCACTGGAAACAGGTACAACTAACACGACATTTTAAAACTGATTTCATCAATTAATTTTCTAGGAAAGAGTTTTATACTGCAACGGGTTAATTTGGATGAGGTAAAATTCTCCTCCTTTGCAGTGGTCAGCGATTATATCATTACAGTAAAGACGAATTTTTATTAAGTTTACAAGACAACTAAGATAATTTGTTAATTGACAACGTTTAAGTGTTTTAAATCTTGCTAGAAATCGAAATTTAAATAAAAAGCTATCTTTATTGGTTTGATACATATAACGATTGTACTTAATTCTTAGCTGAATTTTCCTAGTTGGTTAAAAGTGAAAAATACGAAACTGAATTACGCTTGGAACTTCCTAGAACTATGGAGGAGGTAAAATATTCGATTTTTTAAACAAATAAAGAAAGTTTTATTTTCAACCTTTTTTTTAAAAGGACGAAAGATTTTCTGGATTTGATGCTTATAAGAATATTAATAGATGTTGTCCACAGGTGAATTTTGTTTGTTGTAATATTTGCAGTGGGACTAATACAAATGTCGAATACGAAGACGACACTAAATTTTTGAGAACGAATGAAACCATGAAGAAAAAATATCGTTTTTTTTATCGAACGCGAATATTTTCAGAAAGATTTGAAAAATCGATTGTTTTTGTTTAATGAATAAACAATTTTAGGAACAAGCTTTTTAAATGGGTCGTTCGCGAACGTTAAATGAACGAAATGAAAAAAGCCGAACACGGCCATCTCTAGTCGGAGAATAAAAATATAAAGTTGTAACAAAATATTAAATTTATTTAAAGGTTGAAGCAGATTCAGTGAGCCTGGAAAAACTTGCTGAAGGATTTCAAAAAGGAAGGGAAATATTTTGTTTTTTTACATTTCTTTATATATATATACATATATTACACAGTGAGAACCCGGTAACTGTAGACAAGGAAGACGACATTAAAGCAATATTAAAGTTTATTTGATGTTGTTTCTAAGCCAAATTTTGCTATAGTAACTTATTAAATTTTATTGTTTATTGTTTACATGGCACAGTTACTGTCGTTTATGTTTATTGGACTATTTAAAGTCATAACTTAAGTCTAAAAGTCGTCTTCCTATTCCTGGTTCTTACTTTACATATTGATGTTTTTATTAACAGATGGGGATATTCACCGGATACCCTGTAATATTGGAGCAGAAACATTTAGGGATTCGTTTATCAGGTTAAAAATGTTAGCAAACACAAAGGATGAGAATATTTGAAGATTTAATTTGACCCTCTTTCTTTCCATAAGTTGAATCTAAACTCTTATCAAAGAGAATAGAATATATGTTAGAGTGGAACTTAAAGAATCTCCCGGTATGAATTTTTTCAGTCCCTTTTAGTCTGAAAGGGAGTTCAAAGTGTACAAATCATGTAAATGTTCACAAATTATATGCAGTAGAGTACATTAATACAGTATGTTCCCTAGACTATTCATTTCAATTGCGAATTTTTTAAAGCTGTTAAATAAACTTTATAATGAATTAGGTGAATAAAAAACATCACTTGATTTGTAGTTATAACGGAAAATCTCATCGTTTTTAAAGTGAAAGGCATACAGTCTATGTGAAATGATCATTGGTCAATTATGAAACCAGCCTATTTCGTTGGTTTTCTTTTAATATTAATTTTAGATTTTCTATAAAATGATGTTCCAGGGCCCAAAAGGTTAAATAGCATAAATATGTGAAGTACACCTGCAGTATGGAAACAGTACAACAAAACGGCCGTTTTACACTTTTTTCTAGTAAATTCCACTCTAATATATATTCTATTCTCTTTGACTCTTATCCTTTGTGAGTAACCCTGTATTTATTATTTACTACTTACTAAATCATTAGTTCTAAAAAAGTAAAAAAAAAAAATGTCTACATATTTTTATTATTGAAATCAACAGTTAAATCACACTTGATCTCAATATTCAAAAATAATTATAACACATTATTTTAATATTTTACAATGTGTGTTCTGATTTTTTTGTTTCAAGTCCAAAAACGATTTTTTAATCCAAAGCTATTAAAGAAAACTTCACATAATTACCTAGTTTACCTTAAAATTCAAAACATATATGTAAAAAACGTTCGGAACAAAAGCTATGTTGCAATACCATGTCATTCTGAAATAAAACTTTTTTTATTTTTTTTTATTTTTATTTTAATCATTTAAATTTCAGATTTAATAGTCCAAGTATTCTGGAAGGATGTACCAAGGATTGGAAAGCAAAAGGTTGGACAGTAAAGGGCTTGCTGGAAATAGAGGATGGAGAAAAGGTTTTAACTCGTGTTTTTTTTTTATAAAGGTTTAAAATAACTTTTTAAAGAAATGCAGGAGTAATTTTACTTAGATGACCTTCCATTTAAAAATTAAAATGTCCTTTTCAAATGGTAACTTAAACTTTTATTTCAGTGACATTCGTCTTTTTTCTACAGGGTGTCCCACGAAACATGACTGTTGGTAAACAATTTAGAATGTCATCTTTCATAAATTATTAAGTTACTTTATACCAAAGACAATAATAGAAATACTATATATGAGTCTTATTATAGTAAAATTAAATTCAAAATAAAATATATTTGAGCAAAAGATTTGTTAAACGAAAAAAACTGCAAACAGCCTTTAATATCTAATACAGTGTATGGAAGACGACATTCAAGACTATTTACCAACTGTCATGTTTCGTGGGACACTCTGTATCTTAAATTTGACTGTTCAATTAACATCTTCTACTGTTGATTGTTCAGGACTGGATAACGAACTTTGCAACGAAGAATGGAGATGTGGTAGATATACAGGAGCAGGGGAAACCTAGGAGAGGGAAGGAGGTAGATAAAGGAGCAGGGGAAACCTAGGAGAGGGAAGGAGGTAGATAAAGGAGCAGGGAAAACCTAGGAGAGGGAAGGAGGTAGATAAAGGAGCAAGGGAAACCTAGGAGAGGGAAGGAGGTAGATATACAGGAGCAGTGGAAACCTAGGAGATGGAAGGAGGTAGATATACAGGAGCAGAGGAAACCTAGGAGAGGGAAGGAGGTAGATATACAGGAGCAGGGGAAACCTAGGACATGGAAGGAGGTAGATATACAGGAGCAGGGGAAACCTAGGACATGGAAGGAGGTAGATATACAGGAGCAGGGGAAGCCTAGGACATGGAAGGAGGTAGATATACAGGAGCAAGGGAAACCTAGGAGATGGAAGGAGGTAGAAATACAGGAGCAGAGGAAACCTAGGAGAGGGAAGGAGGTAGATATACAGGAGCAGAGGAAACCAAGGAGAGGGAAGGAGGTAGATAAAGGAGCAGGGGAAACCTAGGAGATGGAAGGAGGTAGATATACAGGAGCAGGGGAAACCTAGGAGAGGGAAAGAGGTAACATTGGATAAATCTCAGAAAAGGGGAGGGTGGATATAAAAACTAAGTAGAGGAGAGGAAGGAGGTAAAAATAAAACAAGGAAAGGGGGAAAGTAAGGAAATAAAGACAGGATGAAAGAAGGAGGTATAAAGGGATAAAAAAACGGAAAGGGGAAGGATTGGGAGAGAAATGGAAACCAAAGGGAAAGGGGGTAAAGGTAAGGAAAGAAAAAGAAAAAGAGTGGAGAATTAAAACAATTAAGGTAGGATAAAAAGCAGACTAAGAGAGATAAAGATGCCACATTGGATATCTTGCTGACAGTACCTTTCTATCCTAGGTACTAGAAATGTTAAAGAACAATTCAGTAATTCGTATTTTTGATCCGTTGGCAGAGCGAACGTCCAGGTTGAGAAAAGAAACTAATTCATCTACTCCATCAGGGACCATTATTAGTTTATCTTTAATATTTTAGTTTAAAGGAACTGATTTCTCATCACAAACTATATTTGTCTCAGTCTGATCCCTACCGCCCCCCCCCAAACACACACACACAGTGGGGTAAGCAAAAATACATTTATTCCATGAACCTCTTATTTATGTCAAATTATTTTTTTTGAAGAAAAGTCTCTAAGTTGTTTAAATATTATCTTTTAGATAATAATTTCGGACGAAAAACCCGTTTTTTCATTGATAAATTTTAAAATAGGATTTTTCAACACGCTTCTCTGACTATATCAACGTTTTGGGGTGCTGATGGAGCTCCTAAATCTGTTCTATATGGCTGTTGGAATCTATTTATATATTTAGATTATCCCGAAACCCCTGTGCTTTCTTGTGCTTTTACTATAAAATATTTGTTTTCTTCCAAAATACTCTCTGTAACAAAGACGACATCTTGCGGGATTACAGGATCCATTCAAGGATAAATTTATGAACGGGATTTCACTTTTACTTAAAATGAAAACTGAGGCATTAAGAGAACTCATCGTGCTACCGTAACCCCACCTCCCCCCTTGATGCAGCTAATAGTGAGAATTTAGATAAACTGGAGCTGATGAGTCATTACAAAGGTATTTTAAATTTTGGTTTAAACTTTGTTTTTGACACAATTAATAAATAGATTTTATATTTGACATTTCTACAAAAAATCAATGCTTACTAATTTTTGTAAATTTCTTTAAGGATAAAATTGTTTGATATTAAAAATATATTACTTTGACAAAAAAAAATTTAAAAGTTTAAAAACAATAGAGTAAAGTGCATTTCCATAAAAATACATTATGTGCCAATGCCGCAATGCGTTATTAAAATAAAACTAATGTTTCTTTCATTCAATGAACTACAGATCAAAATTGGACAGCAAACGATCGTTGTCATGTATAGTAGCAATATTGCCAAAAGATACACTTTTAAAACTTTTATAAGATAAGTTTCTTCATATTTTGTCTTTTTATGACTAATAAGTGCGACTAAAAAATTATAATGATTTCTTGTTATAATTTTCCGAGCTTTTAGCTAATAAGCTAAGATGTTCATTTCAGGAGCTAAGGTCTCAAGGCTTAGAAATACCAAATAATCCTTTTGTCCTCCGAAAATCAAAGTTTTAGAATAATTGATCTTTTAGTTCCTTGGAGCATACCTGAAGACTTGTTTAAGAGCTGTGGTGTTCTAACTGATTATCAGTGGATAGCTATCAGCTCTTCTAATACAGGTGAATACCTGATTATCAATAGATAGCTATCAGCTCTCCTAATACAGGTGAATACCTGATTATCAATAGATAGCTATCAGCTCTCCTAATACAGGTGAATACCTGCAGATTATCAATAGATATCTATCAGCTCTCCTAATACAGGTGAATATCGGATTATCAATAGATAGCTGTCAGCTCTCTTAATACCCAGGTGAATACCTGATTATCAGTGGATAGCTAATACAGGTTAATAACTGATCATCAATGGAGGGGTCAGTTCTCCTATACGGGTGAAAAACAGATTATCATTGGATGGCTATCAGCTATTACAGGTGAATATCTGATTATCAATGAAAAGCTATCAGCTCTCTTAATACAGGTGAATAACTAATTATCATTGGATAGTTATCAGCTAAATGAGGTGAATAACTTATTATCATTAGATAGATATCAGCTATGACAGGGGAATGGATAGCTATCAGCACTCCTCATACATGTGAACAACTGATTTTCAATGGAAAGGTATTAGCTCCCTTAATACAGGTGATTAACTGATAATCAGTGAATAGCTATCAGCTCCCCTAATACAGGTGAATACCTTATTATCATTGCATAGCTATCAGCTAATACAGGTGAATAACTGATTATCAATGGATAGCTATCAGCTAATACAGGTGAATAACTAATTATCAATGGATCTAGTTATCATCTAAAACAGGTGAATAACTGATTGCTGCCTCTCCTAATACAGGTGAATAACTGATTTACAATGGATCTAGTTATCAGTCAATACAGGTGAATAACTGATTGCTACCTCTCCTAATACAGGTGAATAACTGATTATTATTAGAACTAGTTATCAGCTAATACAGGTGAATAACTGATTATCAATAGATCTAGCTATCAGTTAATACATGTGAATAAATGATCATCAATGGATAGCTATCAGTTCTTCTAATACAGGTGAATAACTGAATTTCATTGGATAGCTATCAGCTCCCTTAATACAGCAGAATAACTGATTATCAACGGATAGCTATCACCTATTACAGGTTAATAGTGATTATCAATGGATTTAGTTATCAGGTGAAAAACTGATTAGTAATGGATTCGTATCAGCTACAGGTGAATAACTGATTATCAGCTCTCATAAAAATAGCTGTTTTTGCAAGAGAAAAGTTAAGAAATTCCCAGTTTTCTCCTTTCTGGATAGAAAAAAAATCATCCTAAATTAGACTTTCTGTGCGTACTGCAGTAATAGCTGCAGTACTCTGACCAAATAAATTGCTGGGTTTAGTGGAGAGTGAAATGACTAAGATGTATTTCACTATATTTGCAGGAACAGATTTGCACCTTGATCCTGTGTTAACCAGCGCTTGGAATACTCTCTTGGCAGGTCAGATCTTCACAGCTTGTGTGAGAAACTAATAAAAGACGACATTTGTAACTTGTGAAGTTGCTTCAAATTGATCAAAACGTCACAACCACTTAAAAACGTCTTTAAAAAGTTCTAACTGACAAATCTAAAACATTATATATGTCATTTTTCATATTACTTCTTTATCCAACAGAAATATTTATGTTAAATACGGTTGATGTCGTGGAAACATTTCTAAAAATAGGTTTTTTAGTTAAATTCAGTAAAACATTTTTAGATTATGTCTTTACTTTTTTACTTTTTACTGTTCTTTCAGGAAGAAAGCTTTGGGTTGTTTTACCGAAAGACATTGAGATTAATCCTTTAAGCTGTGATCCTTCATGTTCCTACCAACAGGTATGTACGTCCTTAATGTTCCTACCAACAGGTATGTACGTCCTTCATGTTCCTATCAACAGGTATGTACGTCCTTCATGTTCCTACAAACAGGTATGTACGTCCTTAATGTTCCTACCAACAGGTATGTACGCCCTTCATGTTCCTATCAAAAGGTATGTACGTCCTTCATGTTCCTACCAACAGGTATGTACGTCCTTAATGTTCCTACCAACAGGTATGTACGTCCTTCATGTTCCTATTAAAAGGTATGTACGCTATCCTGCCAGCATCCCCTTTCTAAGGGAACAGACCTGTAAAGGGACTTATGTTGTAATTTCAATCAACCCTCCATACCTGATTCACAACTGCACCATTGAAACCTTAATCTGATACATAATGTGAAAGATATCTTCATTTTCAATTGGAAATTCTGATCATTCCTACAATGTTTTCCTTTAGTAAAAGTGTAATGGTTGTAGAGAAACAAAAATTATCAGTTTTCAAAATGGTTAACATGGATAGCTAATTCGTAGTTTATCATGAAAGGCTTTATAAGGATACTGTTGTGAATCGACCATACATTTTTATAATTGTCAACTCTTGAAGTAAGGGTTAAGACCATACTAAAAGCAGTTTTTGGCGTCTTTAAACTTCATTTTTTAGCCATTCAACATTTTTTTGAAGTTTAAAGATGCAAGATGCTTTACAACATCTGTTGCAAAGTCTATCATTTTTTTAAGTATTTTAACACCAGTTTAATTTTAACACATTTTGTTGAAATAAAAATTAACGATACAAAACCAAACGTTCGGTATTAAATGAGTATTAAGTTTATTACCTTTTCATTTCTTCAGAGATACATTTTGTAAAGAATAATAAAAGCAAACTTTTAGAAAAAACAATATAATTAATATAAACGCCGACCACTGTAATATAACTAAAAAATTCCTATAAAGGACCTGTCATCTGTATCCTGGTTCCAACATATTCTGCCACAGATCAGAGACAGGAAATGGTATGGTCAGCGAATCCTGAAGTTCATACAGTACACAGGAGATACGCTTTATATACCTTCAAGGTATTCTAGAGTGCATACAGTACACAGGAGATACGCTTTATATACCTTCAAGGTATTCTAGAGTTCATACAGTACACAGGAGATACGCTTTATATACCTTCAAGGTATTCTAGAGTTCATACAGTACACAGGAGATATGCTTTATATACCTTCAAGGTATTCTAGAGTTCATTTAGTACACAGGAGATACGCTTGATATACCTTCAATGTATTCTAGAGGTCATACAGTACACAGAAGATACTCTTTATATACCTTCAAGGAATTCTAAAGTTCATACAGTACACAGGAGATACTCTTTATATACCTTCAAGGTATTCTAAAGTTCATACAGTACACAGGAGATACTCTTTATATACCTTCAAGGTAAATTCTAAAGTTCATGCATTACACAGGAGATACGCTTTACATACCTTCAAGGTATTCTAGAGTTCATACAATACTCAAGTTATATCTTTTATATACCTTCAAGCTATTCTAGAGGTCATGCAGTTCTGAATAAAGATAAAACTATTGCTGTTTAGGGCTGGTCATGCAGTTCTGAATATAAATGAAACTATTGCTGTTAAGGACTGGTCATGCAGTTCTGAATATAGATGAAACTGTTGCTATTTAGGGCTGTTCATGCAATTCTGAACAAAGATGAAACTATTGCTGTATAGGGCTGGTCATGTAGTTCTGAATATAAATGAAACTTTCGCTGTTTAAAGCTGGTCATGCAGTTCTGAATATAGATGAAACTATTGCTGTTTAGGGCTGGTCATGCAATTCTGAATAAAAATGAAACTATTGCTGTTTAGGGGTGGTCATGCAGTTCTGAATATAGATGAAACTATTGCTGTTTAGGGCTGGTCATGCAGTTCTGAATATAGATGAAACTTTTGCTGTTTAAGGCTGGTCATGCAGTTCTGAATATAGATGAAACTATTGCTGTTTAGGGCTGGTCATGCAGTTCTGAATATAGATGAAAATATTCCTGTTTAGGGCTGGTCATGCAGTTCTGAATATAGATGAAACTGTTGCTATTTAGGGCTGTTCATGCAATTCTGAACATAGATGAAACTATTGCTGTATAGGGCTGGTCATGTAGTTCTGAATATAAATGAAACTTTCGCTGTTTAAAGCTGGTCATGCAGTTCTGAATATAGATGAAACTATNCATTACACTGGTACAACTGTGTGACCTCGTAGCTCCTCTAGTTTATGAGACATTACACTGGTACAACTGTGTGACCTCGTAGCTCCTCTAGTTTATGAGACATTACACTGGTACAACTGTGTGACCTCGTAGCTCCTCTAGTTTATGAGACATTACACTGGTACAACTGTGTGACCTCGTAGCTCCTCTAGTTTATGAGACATTACACTGGTACAACTGTGTATGTGATGTATGAAAAGAGAAAATTTATCCAGGGTAATATTAGATATTCAAATAAAAATGTCTCAATAAGAGGAGATATATTTGAAAACATATTTAATTTAAATCTTACTTGCAACTTACTTCATTTTGACAGGTAAGGCCTTTTCCATTTCACCTTTCAACAAGGTGGATAGGAAAATTATTAATATTTTAGAAAAGTTGAATCTGATATTTGGAGTTGTTTGGAGAGCATGATTACAGGGAAGGATAGATCAAAACTCTGTCAGGTAGAAATCTGAAACTTCTGGATATGCCTGAAAGCACTAATCCATATCTTTGATAGTTCGACAGAATAAATTTATTCCTTTTGGATATATCAATGGCCGCCCATATTGAAAATGAAAGTAACATTTTCATGAATTAAAAATTTGGAAAAATCTCTAAAATTATGAACATTTTGTTAGAATTATGAAAAGAATATGAGGGAATGTCACAAATACATAAAATATTATCTTTATTTTTTCTAACAAAATGTTTGTTAGAAAATGCTTCTTGTTTGACAGTTTCTTTTAACAGTGTTGAGAGGTTAAACTAAATTAAATTTTGATATTTTATTCAAATCTTCCAAGAAAGAATAAAGTCAACTTTAACGTTATTGAAATATGAAATTGTGTACTAGGAAGACGACATTAAAGAAGTGTTTTTGATGTTAACTTGTAACAAAGGAAATAGTTAAACTAGTAACTTATTAATTACTTATTCCATAGAACGAATTTCTGTACACTGCAGGCCATTAGTTTGCTTTCTGTTTTTGGACATATTTGATGTCATAAATTGAGTCTAAAAGTCGTCTTCCTGTTCCTGAGTTTTCTGGTTCTCTCTGTAATCCAGAAACTAAAGTAAGATAAAGTAACAAAATCTTAACAAATAATAATGTTTAGATGATTGAACAGATAGAGCAGAGTATAGAGAAAAAACCTCAAATATGTAAAAGGTTACTTTAAGAAAGTTAAAAGAATGTCGTATATTTTTGCCTCTCACAATGAAATGTAAGTTCAGAGACGAGTTTCTTTTTAATTTCAAGAAACCCTCCTTTAACATATTTGATTCACAACGTTTTTTACCATGTCTGAATTGGATATCCATATGTTTTTGTCATTAAAAGTGATAATTTTCATTCGTGGTTTCACTAAAAATGTAACTTGCGCATTTCTTGTTTATAAAAACTGTTATCAATTGAGATTAAGGTTTCAATGCTACTGTTTTAAATAGAAGGTCACTACCGCCCCTTTACAGATTTTATCTTAGAATTTCATTCAACAAATTGAAAATTGCACAACTTGTAGTTCACATTGTTGGATCAAAACTTCTGAGTAGATCAAAATGCCAAAAATTGCTAATTTCCAAAAGTTGAGGCTCTGTTATCAAAGAACACGCAAATCTGTCCCTTTAGTATATAAAGCATAAAGTCTGATCGCGTCAACCTTGTTGCACCGGCAAGTCCTGTCCATAGAGCTAGGTACAGTACAAACTGGGACCGGAAAGGTTGACCAGAGTCCAAAACTAAAGAATGCGCGAATTTTAAGTTCGAGGTTAAAAGTTCTGTAAAATAATGAATAGCTACNCGCTCAGGGTTAAAAAGGAATCTTAGTTTTGGTATAGATCAGATGGCCGGTGACATACAAAATGCACATGGGTGCATGTATGACATGGATTCTAAGGTTGCAAAGCTTTCTCTCAAATATCAACGAGAATTTTGCGAATTGCTTCTTTAAAACAAAGGCTAAAATTAAGAGATTGTATGGTTCTAAAAAGTATACATGTATCTGGGGATAACAGTTTACCCTAACCCGTGGCCCTAACCTTTCTCCGTTAAATAGTTGCACATTATAAATATATTTACTGAAATTGTGTTAACACAGATTAAGAGTTTGATATAAAACTTTCAAGTCAGTTTCTCCTTCCAGCCTCCAGTTACCAAACATATTTAAGACTCAATTATTATTTTATCTGTTTATGATGTTGCATTAAAAGTAAATTAATTGCAATTCCTGTAACTGTAATCTGAAGCAAATTAAACGTCTTATATTTTTTCAATCATAACTTTTCTTAATTAAAGACCTTGTGAGAAGAACAAAAATGTTTTACACTTCCAACATTTAACAGAATACATTTTTATACAAATATAAACTAGATTAACTACAAAGTCACAAAGTCGCAAAAATTGTACCTTCTCGGTCTGTCTAGTTTACAGTGCTGTGTCTCATGTTTTTTAGCTTAATCATTTCCTTCTATTTTAATTTCTGCAGTTCTGTTGAATAATTGGCTCAGATTTAAGATTTAAATACTGTTTCACATTAATTACAACAGAATATTAGAATTTATGGCCTTATAAAGTTAAAACACAAATTTCAGATTATTTAAATAATTTCCGTGATTTCAAGCCAAATATTGCATTTAACAGTCAATACGTGAGTGAGTGTAAATGTCCGTCTTATAAAAAAGTCCCAAAACCTCTCATTTCATCTACAGTCATTCTATTGTATTGTATGTTTGAAATATACGGATTTTCATGTATGTTTGCAACTTTCTGTGTTAGAGTCAAGAAGACTAATCAACAAATCAACAAGTCCAATCAATCAATCAATTAGCAAATTAATCAACCAGACTAACAGTCTATTATCACCGACGCCTGCCTATTGTTTTACATATATATAGTATGTATGCTGATATGTAATATGCATGTATGTATGTTAAGTGTAGGTTGGGGTGTTTGTATGTAGAGGTGTGTGTATGTATGTATGTAATATGCATGTATGGGTGGGTGGGTGTATGTTTGTTTGTGTGTACTGTGTAGTGTATGTAAGTATGTCCTATAAACTATGTACTGTGTAGTGTATGTGTGTACTGTGTGTACTGTGTAGTGTGTGTTTGTACTGTGTGTACTGTGTAATGTGTGTAAGTATGTCCTATAAACTATGTACTGTGTAGTGTATGTGTGTACTGTGTGTACTGTGTAGTGTGTGTAAGTATGTCCTATAAACTATGTACTGTGTAGTGTATGTGTGTACTGTGTGTACTGTGTAGTGTATGTAAGTATGTCCTGTAAACTTTGTAAAGATATTAATCTGAGCAGAACGGATGCATAATCTTAAACCTTGATATTTTATATTCAACTATTATAGATATAGGGTTCAACCAGTATACTTCCAGTTTCCCTTCCCTTCATCCCCCTCTTCCCCTCACTTCCCTTCATCCACCCCTTCCCCTCACTTCCCTTCATCCACCCCCCTTTCCCTTGATATTTTATATTAAAATATGATTAGAGGGTTTCACTAATAAAATTTCAGCTTCCCTTTCCATCAATTTTTCTGCTTCCCTTATGAACCATCTCCTTTGCTTCCCTTATTTACTCCAAATATCCTTCCTTTTAACTACCCATCACGTCAACTTCACCTTCGTTCAAAGTACCCCTTCAGTTAACTACCTACCTTCGTCAAAAGCACCCCCTTCCTTTAACTACCTTCCTTCATAAAAAGTACCCCTTTCCTTTGACTACCTACCTTCATCAAAAGTACTCCCTTCCATTTAACTACCTACCTTTATCAAAAGTACCCCCTTCCTTTAACTACCTACCTTCATCAAAAATATCCCCTTCCTTTAACTACCTACCTTCATCAAAAGTACCACCTTCCATTTAATTACATACTTTCATCAAAAGTACCCCCTTCCATTTAATTACATACCTTCATCAAAAGTACGCCCTTCCATTTAATTACATACCTTCATCAAAAGTACCCCCTTCCAATTAATTACCTACCTTCATAAAAAGTACTGCCTTCCATTTAATTACATACCTTCATCAAAAGTACCCCCTTCCATTTAACTACCTACCTCCATCAAAAGTACCCCCTTCCTTTAACTACCTACCGTCATCAAAAGTACCCCCTTCCTTTAACTACCTACCTTCATCAAAAGTACCCTCTTCCATTTAATTGCCTACCTTCATCAAAAGTACTCCCTTCCTTTAACTACACCTTTCTTTCCTTGAACTAGTTTACTCGGCCCTCTTTAACTACCTTCCTCCCCACCCCCTTCACCTTCAAGGAATGGATGGCCTTACTTTCTAAATAGGTGTCTGCACTGCAGACTGAATCCAAATTACGAAGATGAAAAATAAGTTAGAAAAGAGGGAAAATGAAAGGAAAATAAGTTTATTTTGTTAGACGAGTAAAATATATATTTTTGTTATTGCGAGGCTAATCGTAATATTTGCAACCTGTTTACCACATGGTTAGACCTGGGAACGTTTGTACTTTTTCAATACTTTCGATGAAAATTAGTTAAATTAAAGGCAAAGGATCTAGGTACGTCCATCAATTATACAACAGAAATTTTAAAGTGTCACAATGTCAGGAACACCTTGACCGATAGGCCTCAAATTTTGATTGGAAATCTCGGGAGAACCACGGGAATGTTCTAAGCTTGTGGGTTTAAAATGTAAAATTGAGTGGGTCGACTTGACCTGAGTGGGCTGGATCCAAAACCTAGTATTTAATGATTTTGCAAAGAAAGAAAGAAAGAAACAGCTGCAGAGCAT